TTTGGTATTAGTTGATAGGTGTGATGAAAAGTGTAACTGTAAAGATTGCTCCGTTTGATGCGACCATTGTTTGGTGAGCTCTCACAAACGATTCCACTTTTATCTGATGATATTTCTTCGTCTGTTGTGCAAATGCTTGTGTTGTGTGCTTTCATACAGTTTTCTTTGTTTAAAATGTGACGGACAGTCACTTTGTATTTTCCAAAACAACTGAAAAAAGGATATGGAAATAACGAAGAGTATTCAATCTCAAAGTCCATTAAACAATGTACAAAATCAAAGCAGAGCAAACACGGACCCCCAAAACATCAGAGGTGGGATCAGGTGCAATGGAGGAGTGAGCATCCCCTGCCGACGGGTCACACCCGCCGTGTGCTCACTGTCATGATCAGGAAATAACGAAAAAAATCAATTCAGTGTATAAATAATGGATTAACAATTGGTATGAAAAACGTCAGTCAGCATTTGACTCAATGATAAATTGTATTTGCTGACAAGGTCATTGTATCGACCATAGAACTTACGAAATGATGACTTTAAACGAGACTGCTGATGTTCTTGTTTCATCAACTTGCTTGTCAATAATTTACCTCGTTTAAGAAATTGTTCATACGTAGAGCATGCTCTTGCGTATCGAATCAACTGAGATATATAAACTCCGTATGCAGGTGATAAAGGTTTATTGCTGCATAAGTAATAGCAGTTGACGATAGAAAAGTTAAAGTCATCACGTTTATCATATAGTTTGGTTGTAAGATTACCATTAGTGTCTTTTTCAAGAAAAATATCCAAATATGAAGCAGAAGTGTCGGACTCTGTGGTATCTTTTATCTCAAGCTCACTAGGATATATCGTATCGACGTAGGAATGGAAATTATCATTATTAATTGACAATACGTCGTCGATATATCTAAATGTCGAGTTGAAGGCCACAGCAAGTTTTTTTTTCTTTTCACGCATAAGATTTTGTATAAATTCTGCTTCATATGAATATAAAAATAAGTCTGCTTATAACGGAGCGCAATTTGTACCCATGGGAATTCCAACAGATTGTTGGAATACCTAAGCTATAAAAAACCACATAAAATTGTCAAAATGTCCAGCATCTTCTTGATGTCAACTTCAGAGTCCTTATGCGTGCAATCAGAATCTGTTTTAACAAAATAATTTTGCAAATGACCAATGACGAGGTAAGTAAATTTACGAGTTCCATTTTTATTGAAACACACTCTCTTCTGTTTCATGATATAAATTCGTGCTTCATAATCTTTGACTCATTGAAAATTTATTGATGGGTGGTTTTCACTGAAGAAGAAACAAAGTTTTTCATTTTTTTTAATCTTGTGAGAACTTCTTTGTCTTTCTACAACTACCCTTCCTTACTACCTGCATATTACCCGTAGTAATCTGTACTTTCATTTGCACGACTTTTTTATGGAAAATTTGTAGAATAAGTTATCAGAATATTACTAAGATTACTCACAAATTGTTCAACATACCCCTGAATCTTTTAGGTCCTTGAATCTGAAAATTGCGGTCTCCAGCATTGAATTCATTTACATGACGAATTTCTTGTTCCACATCTTCTGACGTCTGTAGTCTGTACATAAAGTATCTTGCCTTATAGTTCCTGTAAAAGTTATGTCATACTTTTAAGGACTTTAATGCTGCCTTAAATTCAGGTTAGAGAGAAAATCATCATGCTTTTTTATGCTTTTTTTCTTTTAACTGCACTTCTGTGGCCTCTTCGACTTCTTTTTGTTTCTCCATCACCAAATCTTGCAATTGTATATAACTCCTGAATATTTAGCTGGTTTATATAAAATGAACTACCAAAATCAACTTGACGTACTGAGACTCATAAATATGATGACGTTACAATGGAGTATTGCTGAATGAAGCATGCATTTCGGTGTTATAGAGTGGTAGGTATTCATTTAATAGGGGTAAAAAAAAACGATTGGTCCTCTCATCAGTCTACCATATAAGGGCTATCTGGCTTTAAAAGATTTTATCAGATGGCAAACAAATATTTAATCCCGATAAAAGATTTAAAATGATACCCTGTTTCTTAATTATTGTTAATATATTTTTTGTTAAATCGATCATTTCAGCCTATCCGACTTCTAGGGGACCGTTCTGTTTTAATTGTGCTCACACCTTAAATCCATCAGATTGTCATCACGTGACTCTGTGTGAAATCAATGAGGTAAAGGATAGTAAATGTGTTATAATAAAATGAATGTTCTTGTACGAATTTAAAAAAGTAAGATATTCAAGCAAAATTCTAAATCTATTCTTTAATTCATCATTTTTTTAAAATACCTATTACATATGTTTTAATAACACAATATGGCATCAAATATTATGGAAAACTTTTGTTGCAAAAATAAAATTCTGAAGAATGTTCTATTTTACAATTATTCGTAGGCTTTCATGCCAGATGGAGAAAAGTACAGGGAACTTGAAATTAAGGTCTTTCCCCCCTCACAATTCTAATGGTTCAAAGTACAAAAACTGCATTTATTTTCATTTGATATACTTAAAATTTTCAATTATTGCAAAAAATGTAGAGGTAGCCATATTATTTAAGATGCAAGAGACATAAATAAACAGAAGTACAAGTCAACAAAAAATTTGTACATTTTTTGCAAGCAGTATTATGAAAAAGAAAATTAAGAAATAGTTAAAATGCATAATTCTGATGCCTAATGTTCCTGAATACTTCCCTCTTATAAAATACTTTTGAATTGTGAATACCTTAGTATCAGGGAAACTATTTTACATGAAAGCAAATGTTTGAATAAAGAGACCTGAGAACGAGTTATTGCCCTGGTCAAATTTTGTTAAAGATTGAATTATTGATTCAATAAAGAAAATATGCATTTTTAAAAATTTAACTTCTTTACTTTACAATATTGATCAGTACACCGACTGATAAGCATTTTTAAAAAGGGTATTGTTATATCTGGTATTAATTCAAAGTAAAAACAGTTTTTGCAAAAACCTATGACATCATAGTAGGGTGGAATTACCTTAAGATTAAGTTTCGTCATTATTCTTGGTTCTGCAGACCCTGCTTATCATTATGAGGAACTTAAATAAAAGAAATATATATATTCATCATTATCATTTCGTGGCTTTTTACCAACTATATTTAATTAAAAATACGTTTACATGATTGCGCACGTAATGAAGTTTGAACGCATATCAAGTTAGAATTATACTCACCTAAGTTACCAAAGCATAACCGTATAATGTTTGAATTATAGATGTGTTTTCTTGGGGAGAGTCTTGAGCACGGTCAGCGTTTCTTCAAAAGTCAATGTAAAGAAGCACACGTAAGTAAACATCTAATTTAGATAAAACGGTCCTTCGTCGAATTTTTTTTAACCATTGAAGTGGAAGTGGTTTATTTTGGAATAAAAGAGAATAAGAAATGAGGAAAAGGATGGGAGAAGGGTGAAAGAAGATAAGGAATTAGGGATAAATGAGACAGAATAAGGCTAAGGGAAGGGAGAAGACTGAAACATAAGTAGAAATGAAGGAAAGTGGAGAGGAAACATGAAAATGAAAAGATTGGAATTAAGGGGAGAGGAGTGAAAGAAAACAAAAAATAGGTGAAAAAGAGGAGAAGTAAAAGAAAAAAAACCAGGGGAAGTGAGGGGAGAAGAGTGAAAGAGAAGAAGAAATCGGGGAAAAATGAGGAGAAGTGAGGTGAGAGGAGTGAAAGAAAAATAATAAAGGGAAGAAAGGGGAAGAAAGAGACAGAGGATAATAACTGTGGGAATGGGGAAGACAAAAGGGGGAAGTGAAAGACTGAGAAAGAATATTTAAAAATCAGGAAAGGGCGAGAGAGAACTATGAAAGAGAAAATTAATGAAATATGAAAGAAAGTGAGGTTGTAAAAATAAAAAGAGAATAAGAAATTAGGAAAACTGAAAAATGAAGAGAAAAAATGAAGGAAGTGACGGAAGAGGAGTGGAAGAGAAAAATATGAGGGGAAGGGCTGGAAGGAAGAAAAATATCAGAAATAACGGAAGTGATGTGAACGAGAAAAATAATAAGAAATGGTTTATAAATGAAAGGAGTTTCTGAAATAGGAAAAAAAGGGATAAAGAATACAGTAAAACGCGTTAAGTATGAACACGGATATTGCAAATTCACGAATATAGCGAAGTTATCTTGGATCCCCAGCTATATTAATTTCACAAATTCCTTATACGATATAACAAATAACGATTATAAAGGAGAAATTTTATAGGTCCTAGTGACTTCATTATAATAACCGATTTTTACTATAAGTATTCAATTATATTTTTTTTTCCTGCATTTGTTTATTAATCCTTGGAGACATGTGACTCCGAATGTATCAGATTCTAGTATTTTAATTATGTAATTATTAGGCTTGTGAAAATCACATATCAACAGCAGGTATTGTTGGAAAGAAGCGATCTCTGAAGGGTAAGAGGTCGTATACGTCATGCTCAGGTTGTTGCAAAGGGGACTTATGTAATATCAACTGTAACGCCACCTTTACTTCCAGTATCATCATCAGCACAGGGAATAATAGCGGTAATTTCGTAAGGATCTATTATATTTTAAATATAGACGTGAATTATCCTATTCTTACGAGATATTTTTTAATGTGACAGAAATACCTGGGAATTACGCCTTCTACGCACAACTAACGTCATCAACGACAAATAATTACGTCATATTTGACAACGTTACAACCAATGAAGGCTTGGCTTACAGCAGGAGCACGGGGATCTTTTCTTGTAAATACAGTGGCCCATATGTCTTTTCGTGGACAATAGCGACAAGCAATCAGCGCTACTCTGAAGCAGATCTACTAATCAATGATGTATCACTTGGTTCTTCCTTCACAGACTCTCGAGGAAACATTACTAGCGACTCCAGCACGGGGTTTGTAGTGTATGATCTGAAGTCTGGAGACAATGTCAGAGTTATGGTCAATGGAACGGCTGACGCAATATTCTCCACATTCTCTGGCTGGCGATTAAATTACAGTAAGCTTTTCTGTTGATGAAATAAATGAAGGGATATTTTTTCTGTATTTCGTAGCCATCAAGACGATGATTTATATTCTAGATGAAACGTACTTCTATGCTAGAGCAGTGACGTCATTGACTAGACCCCCCTCCTCTTCTTACGGCTTTAACTTCCAAGATATAATTTCCAACAACGGTCACGTTTACAATTCCAGAAACGGCACGTTCGTCTGTCCAGAGTCTGGTTTGTATGTTTTTGCTTTCTCTGTGGAGACCCAGCGGCGGGATTTCATGGTTTACATTTACCGAAACGGACACAAGTTTAATGACATTGGAGTGTGGCCAGATTCCTCGTCAGGGTCCAACAAGGACACCTCCTCCACCCTACAGGTTTTCCCCCTGACCCGCGGGGACAGAGTGTATCTTTATGCGACTGATACTGATAGCATTATAGAACCTAAACAGTCATCATTTTCTGGATGGCGCATTGGTTCAAGTAAGTTTTTAGCTCATCAAAAAAGTTGGGGAGGGATAGCCATCCACCCCACCCACTCTTTCATCCTCACCAAAACCACTGGTTTTACCTGTTCCCCAATTCTCACCACCACCACCACTGATTTTTACCTGTCCCCCATCCTCACCACCATCACCACTGGTTTTACCTGTTCCCCCATTCTCACCACCACCACCACTGGTTTTTACCTATCACCCCATCCTCACCACCACCACCACCACTGGTTTTTACCTATCCCCCCATCCTCACCACCACCACCACTGGTTTTTACCTGTTCCCCCATCCTCACTACAACAACCTGTTATTACCTGTTCCCCCATCCTCACCACCACCACCACTGATTTTTTCCTGTTCCCCCATTCTCACCACTAGCACCACTGGTTTTTCCTGTTTGTTCCTCTTTCACCACTGCTTCTACCTGAATGGAACTTTAACGATTAATCTAATTTTAATAATTGGTCTGGGGCTATATTTTTGTTGAGTAATTTACATGTACGGATGAAAAAGTATCTGCTTTTTAGCCCATGTTTCTTCTGTGGTAGAGAGAGAGAGAGAGAGAGAGAGAGAGAGAAAGATATAATTAAAATTTATAAATATTTTCTTATTAGTGACTTCCCGCTCAGCTTTTATGGCTATGGCACCATTATCTACATCCTCTTCTCCTGTCTACTTCAGTACGGAATACCTGGACACATCCGACTCGTTCTTCATTGATAGATTTCAAGCCAACAAAGATGGCGTTTATTTATTCTTCTGGAATATGGAAGCTGGCGATAGACTTCTGAAGTCCTGGCTGCAGGTTAATGGTGAAACTGTAGGACAAACGATCTCTGATGGACGAAATTTAGGCTATGATAGCGGTTCCAATCTCACCATTTTGCGCCTGCGCAAGAAGGATGTCGTTACTGTAAGACAGGATTCAAGAGCTGTCGGAGACCAGACAATGATATCTGGGTATTTTATGTTCTCGTGAATTTCTTTTCGGTTTGTTGACTCATTCTACATGTAATCTTTCATCTTAATTTTTGCCAAATGTGATAATCCAAAAATTAAACATTTTTCATTACATGGACATTTTACACGAGCAATAAATTAAGTTTCAGTTTTCTTAGATTTTCTTTTGAAAACCAAGAATGAAATGTACTTTTGTACGGTGTGATAAGCCTATATGTACATATTTTTGAGGTTGATAGATATGAAATGGACCTCTTTCTTTAATTTCAGCTGGACGACGATAAGCTGATAAAACCGCTTAAAACTGTTATTTCATTTCTAATAACTAATTATAATCACTACAAGGTTTATACAAGTAACCGGAACATAAATAGTTGCGTGAAACATATGGAGATAACGAACAGTATTTAAGATCAAAAGTCCATAAAACAATACAAAACAGGAGCAGGGCAAACAAGGACCTTCAATCATCAAAGGTTGGAGGTAACAATAACCCTAACCATGACCTCCAAATCATCAGAGGTTGGAGGTAACGCTAACGCTAACCATGACCTCCAAATCATCAGAGGTTGGAGGTAACGCTTACCCTAACCATGACCTCCAAATCATCAGAGGTTGGAGATAACGCTAACCCTAACCATGACCTCCAAATCATCAGAAGTTGGATCAACTAAATGAGTTGGGTAATGTGATTGTTTGCGAGAAAGTCTTGACAAATTACTACATCTGACAGGGGGTTAACATGTTAACACTCGTGCTCATGTGACAATAACACCACAGGAGTTCACATACCTATCAATTTTACCGAACTTTTCAGTAAATAAAAAAATGCGTTATATATCTATAATTATAACACAAGGAATGCAACGCATTCCAGGTCACTGGGAACACCTCTGTTGATATCAAATTTAAATTTATAATTGAAAATAATAAAACACAAACCATTCTTTTGGAAGGAACCATTCTTGATGTCTCTTATTGCATGTGAAGTGAAACACCTGCTTATTAACAGTAGTAGTGGCATTTCTACGCGACTTTGCTGCTCAAACACTGACTGTCCGCAAAGCAAGTATGTCACGTGATCACAGTCCGTTAACATTCAGTGTTATTTTTGACGTTCAAATCTTTTAACGTCATAACCGGCTTTTAAGTCTGTTAGCCAACCCAATTTAGAAGAGCGCGAAATTCACATTAAAGATTAACGAAAAAGCAATTATGAAGAAGGAAATTCGAGAATGTAAATATTAGTATTGAATTCAGATTTTGAATGTCTTCGGTTCTATAACACACCTGGCCGTGCCGACAAATTATCATTCCGCTCTAAAGTATGTATTCAATTCTTAAAATAACACATGTGATCCTTGTCCCCGGTAGAAACACAGTAGGAACTATATTATTTTCAATACTCTATGAACACCTGCATGTACCGTATAAGTGAAAATTTTAGCGAGACGCAAATTTAGCGATTTTGTCTTTAAAATATGGTATTTTATTAATTTTTAGCGATAAATAATTTTAGAGATTTTTAAATGCTTACTAATAAGGCTATTGTAAATTAAATTATTCTAATTGATATTTAATCCAACGTCACAAACGGATCTTGCGTCTATTAAGCACAAGAGTTCTGAAAGGTGCTAATGCACGGTATTCAATTTGTCGGCACAACCAGGTGTGTTATACATGTAGGACCGATGATATCAAAAGAATAAAAATCCAATGCGGAAATATGAACATTCTGATTCTTTTTCATGATTTTTCTTTTTGATATAAACATTTTTATTGTAAATTTGAAAATTTTTAAGTGCTATAACTTTGCAGAGTGATACATACAACTGAAATAAAAGAGATAGTTTTTACAGGTATGAATGATTTTATCGATTAAATAGTCAATTTATTGGGGGGGTTTTTTTGTCTCAAAAACGCCCCTTGTCACGTTTATAAATTATATAATGTATATATAATATTCAGCTTATGGATAAATATGGCTCCAATGGTTGTGTTTGATAAATTATGTAATCCTCTATTTTCTGTGTATTTCTACCTCGACCATAGAGAGGACTTTCCAGATAGGAACAATATGACCGAGGTTTCCACTAACACTATTGATACGAATGTAATAAAGAATTGCAGGTAAGATTTAGATGAGCTTTTTTCAGTTAAGATTTTCTTTGTAATGAGAGAATTGACAGTCAAATATTATAAAGGGACAAGTTTTCTGAATCCCGTCCGAAATATTTCGATGTGCAATTTTGAAACAATTTCGACGTTTTTCACTATATTTCAATTCCAAAATTTTAAAGAAGACAAATAAAAATGTTTGCTGAATTTTTAAGCTGATTGTATCATTGTCTGAGACAGATAAGTTGTTGATTTTTGTTGCATTGGATACTTTTTTCACTCTAATAGAAACGGTATCGTGTGTTGATGAAAAGCCTCAAATTTTGACCTTTACTCGGTACTTATGGCCATTGAGCAGTGAAGGTTCCTTATCGTGTCAATGCCTTTCGTGACATGGGACTTCGGGATTTAAGGTCTCATCCACAGCCTTCACTTCGAGATGTCGAGCGCTTGGTGAAGGAGCAGTCGCTACTTAAATTTCAAAGACTTTGGTCAATCGCTGCCGTGGATTGAATGCAAAATCTTCCAAACTTGAAGAGAGCACTCTGCCAATTAGCTTCTTAGGTGAGCGTCAACCTTGATTTGAACTCACGAGCGTCCTTTGAAACACAAAAAATAAAATGATAAAAACTAAAGAAATGGCTGAAAAATGGCTAGATGATAAGCAGGTTTTCTCTGTGTCAGACAAAATGTTAAGACTTTGAGACTGAGAGATTATGATATTCTTTTATCCCAATGTACGATAAAAAAAAATGCTAAAATATACCTTTATCAAGTAAAAACTTGCTGATGTCAGTTTGTTTTTCCTATCAGTAGGCTTTTTAATATGTGTGACATTCTGTTACTGTGCAATCACTAGTTTTCGCGGGGGTTAAAGAAAGAGGGCGTATAAGGCGTGGACAATCCCCTGCTCTGAGACAAAATATTTCTCAATTTTCAAAATTCACAGAAAAGTTTTATTTTTCCAAAATCATGTTCTCAGTAATGTAATCTTTAAAACATTTTATCATTTTATTTTACTGAAGGACTTATTATTTGATAATCTTTATTTCAAAGTTGACAGTTAAGCATATTTAATGGAAAATGGGTTTACTAGAGCTATGAAAAATGAATTTTGAACATAAATGGGTCAAGTCTCCATTCTTCGTTAACGCTTAAATTATGAAAACGTAAATGTGAAATCTATTTCATTTGTCCAAAAAATGAAATCTGAACCCATTCTATATGAAAATCGAAAATTTCTGAAAAAATATACCCTTCAACAACCCGTTGGTTTAAATCACCCTGACAAGCGTCGATAATGCATATACTTCGTAGCGGTCGGTCTCGGACCAAACCCTGCGCTATGGAGAGAGTTCGAATCATACATGAAGCTTTTTCTTTTTTGTTTTCACATATCTTAAAAACCTGAGTGAAAAATAAATTATTAATACATTATTTAAACAATGAAATACAGAATTAAATGTGTAAAAGATGATATAAACACTTTAATTTTGAAAAATATAACTTTCGGAATTGCGGAATGTCTTTTCTCAGAGCGGGGGATTGTCCTCGCCTTGTACGCCTCCATTCGTTGTGGTTTTCAAGGTATGATGAGATCTACAAATGTATGTCCAACACGAAATGCAATTTTCCACATATGTTACTACTAAACTATTCTTCAACAGCGAAGTCAAATAACCATGAAACGATATATTTTCCTAAAACCCCACTATGTAGATAACGAACAGTATTCGAGCTCAAAAGTCAATTAAACAGAAGGCAGAAACGTTTCATTGTTGCTCGGCTCCTATTTATACCCCCGCTTGAAAAGTGGAGGGGGGTATACTGTAATCGGTATGTCCGAACGTCCGTCCGTCTGTCTGTTACGCTTTGGAGTACCCATTGTCCTATCCGTAACTCCTCATACCACAGAGTGTTATTTGTTGAAACTTTCACAGAATTTTTATTACATATTGCTGTTATGCACTTCTTATTTTACTTTTTTATCCGACACGTATTTTAGGTTTCTCATGGCAAAACATGGACACTGTCATTATATTCGTACCTATGACGTGAGATATGGCGGCTTCTGAATAACATTAGATACCGCGAGTTATTTCTCTTTACACGTTACCGTAAAACAGTGTATAGCAAAACATGGAAAGTATGGAAGGCGGTGGCTTGAATACATTTAAAATCCAACGCTCTATTGCTCACAAAAGGTAACTTCTAGTTTGTATTGTTACATGGACTTTGATATTGAATACTGTTCGTTATATCCATATCCTCCTTATCCATATAGACAATTTAATCCCTAGGTATGATGAAATGTTAGAAATTGTGTCAGAAACAACTTGATTTTCATTTGATACTAAATGTATATAGTAATCGGTATGTCCGTCCGTCCGTCTGTAAAATGAAAATTGATAAACCTTTCACAGAATCTTTATTACATATTGCCATTGTGACCTTTTATTTAACTTTTTGATCCGACACAAATCTTGGGTATCCCACAGCAAAACGTTGACACACTGCCTTTATATTCATATGAGTGCCTCTAGTTTAATGACTGTTTGAAGCATATTTCAATTTCTTAAATGAAATGCCTCTATGAAAAGGAAAATAAATAGAGGATATCTATAAAAATTGTGTGATTTTTTCTGATATTGGCTTTATAAAAACATGAAAGCGAAATTGTGTGTATATATTGGCGAGGCTTGCCGAGTTGAAGAATATACACCATTTCAAAATCGAACGAGTTAAAAGGATAAAGAAAATATCAATGTCACACAATAATTGATGTTCTAAATTATTTCATTCGACTTTCGTTTTAAGAAAACTTTGAGACTCCCTCTGCCAAACTACATGAATGATTGCTAATTCAAATTGATGACTTATAACTTGATGACGTAGCACGGTTGATGTTGACATGCCTCTTTTTGAAATTAGATTAAGTAGATCGTGTTCAAAATTTATGAATTTTTAATGCTAAATCTGCACTTTGAAAACATTATGTAATGACAATTGCTGGAGCTTTACATCAAACGGATTTCTGACTGAAAGTTGTAAGGACCATTGGATCATGAAAATGAACTCGTTTGGATGATGGCAGTACAAAACGTGATATGCACTGGTTGATAGGCAGATACTGACCAATCAATTACTGGTTGATAAGCAGATTGTGACCAAAAAAAAATTATTCTGAATATTTCATTTCAGTACCATTTGTTGCTAAACAAGTTTTATTAAGGTCATACGCAACGTAGTTTGAACTTTATTGGGTTCTTCCCTGGAGTTGTAGAGTGCCACTAAATGAATGGCATGTGGGCAATACTTTTAATGTCTATATATGGATTTGTAGACCTCTTCTAACACAAATTTTGAAGAAAAAAAAATCTGGAATTTATGTTTTGTAATTTTTGTTTATTTTTCTTTGAATAATGCAAAATTTTTCATAATTTCATGTCTTTTCAAAACCCTAGGTAACGCATGCTGATTTTCTGGCTAAGAGCATCTAATGGTATTATAAGTTTGAATATAGACTATTTTGAAAAATTATCAGTAGGTAAGGTACCTTGCGTATGTCCTTAAGTCTATTGATTTCTGTCAAACATGTTTGAATATTACCAAATATACTCTAGTATATAATTTAGTAAAACTGTTAAATACTTAAAAAGCTCTACATTCAGGCATTAAAATTTAAACAGATGGGAGAATTCAAATGCATGAGATGTGTTGCACATTTGCCATTTTCATATAATTTAAAGGTAACAATAGGGATAAGGAGAATAGCACACAGCAACTTCAAAAGATAACAAAAGGTGGATCTAACGACTTAATTTAATAATATAGGTGGAGACTTTCATTTTTCAATCGTCAGCCTCCCTAATCTTGCAATACTGCACCTTACATACCTGATGTTGGATTTCATAGACCGTTAGTCCATGATTTATACACTGCATTGACAAAGGATTTTTTCCCCGATTATGACAAGGAGCATACGGAGGTTGTTACCGGTCGGAAGTGGATTTTCACTCCTCCATGGTATCTGATCCCACTTCTGAACTTTGGAGGTCCGTGCTTGCTCTACTCCTACTTTTTATGGACTTTGATATGGAATACTGTTCGTTATCGCCATATCCTTCATCCTTATTTATTCGATAGGAAAGTGCAAATGAACAGTTTCTTAAGGGTTGTAATCTACTGACAAACAAGTTCATGAAACAAGAATATGGACAGTCTTGTTTAAATCTTATATTTTATAATTTTGTTAATTTCTATGGTCGATACTATGAACATTTTGTATAGCAAGCGTCAGACAGAATTCGATTTATAGATTGCATTGGCCAAAATGATTATTTTATCGACAATAGACGTTCCCTTCTAAACAAGATTGAAATATAATATAGAAATGACTCTTATTGTTTGCATTAGCAAACACATATAACCATTTTGTTGATTGACGCATATTTGTATTTTACGTGAATTCTTTTCTTATGAGCACTTTTTTAACCTACAGTAAGAATATAAAATAAATAAAAAGCTACTAAAATGTTCCAGGTTAGGTAAAATGTTATATGATTCTACTACAAAATACTTCAAGGATATAAATTTTATATTGTCATTTGAAAAATAAGGAACTTGGTTATGATGAATTTTTAATATTCCCAGAATTTTTAATTAAGTTTAATGCAGATTGGCGTTTTTCATTGTAACTGTTGAGCCATTCTTTACCAACTGAATTTTGAACAGTTTTTTACCATTATTTCCCAATCAAGACAAGGAGTGATCCACTGGAAAGGAACGCTCGCTCTCCTCTATGACACATCATCCCGTTCTTGCTGTTTAGAGTTCCGAATTTGTTCTGCTCCTTTTTTTCTAGTGTTTAATTGACTTATGTAGCATACTTTTATTTGTATCTGAAGTGATATTCACTCCTCAATGGCACCTTATCCCACCTTTGATGTTTTCATGGTCCATGTTTCCTCTGCTCCTATTTTGTATTTTTTTGTGTAACTGATATTGAATACTGTTGGGTATCTCCATATCCTTCATCTTTTATTCATTTCAGATCTTCCTTTTTTGTCTCTTTTAGGGATGCAGCATAACCTTAAAGAAAACAGAAGAATACTGTTGATTATCTTATTAACTATCCAGGGTAAATTTTATTGTTAATTTCTAATCATTACCGAATATTATTTCAATATTTGTTGAATGTTTAATTCAAGCCTTCATATTTTCTTTATCGTAATTTAATTAACATAATTTAAGGGATGAAAGATTTTTTCTACATGTATAATTGCTTATTTACTATGCACATTGTATTTTTCTCATTTCGTTTTTTTAATCCAAAACTTTGTCGATTGATTTTCGAAGGAAGACAAGTTTTAGGCATCCTTTAATGAATGATTCATGGAAATATGATCAATATTGGATACATGTACGTTGACTGCTGAAGGAAGGTTATCATAACAAAACCATTTACTGCGAAAATGTTACTCGAGTTATTTTTACTACGATATGGACTCCTCACCAATTTGTGACAGGTATATCCTAGAGGGCTGGTACGGGGCGAGAGGATACAATATGTCTACCTCTCCTCCCTCTCTTACAAAGTGTGGCACACTGTATCCAGTCTGGTTGAACGGTAGGTTTTACAATTCATATACCTTAATAAAGAAATCAAATATATAGAAAAGTTATAATCAACAAATCAAATATTCCAGGGTTGTTAAAAAAGTTCGCGGACAAGATTTATTGTGAGAGCATTTTATTCATGAAACAGGTAAAATTCTCCAGATAAAAACCTATTTTCAAATAAATATACAAATATTTAGTGTTTTCCGGTGATCCTTAAAAAATATACTGGTAGATCAGCTAGGTAAAATATGCCTAGTTTTTCACACCTTTACATATACTTCGTAATGAAATTAAGAATTACACAGTTATATTGCACAAAATGAAGGTATTTTACATGTCGGTATAGAATATTCATTAAACGTCACTTTGCGAAATTTTAAATAAAATTCGAGGGTGTATGGCCATTTTATAGCCATTTTTATAAAATCAACACGAAAAAGGGAAGCCAAGATTGTGAACCTCATTGAACGTCATGGAGCACCGAGCTAGTAAAATTTGTATGTGCACACAGTTAAATACCTTAAAATAAACGAAATTGCTTCCAGATGCTGTTGGAAATTGCCTACACATATTGAAGGTAGTCCGATCCTCAGGTTTATAAAATTAGCAGTTAAGTAATCAAAAATACTCATAAAAGTATCTCTAAATCCACAAAGTTATTTAATTTATCCACAGTATTTCTAATGATTAAAGTTAAATTAAAGCAATATGAGCTGCAACTTTGATGTCGGAATTTTTTGTTGCAAAATTGTAAAGAACTACATGTATTTCAATGACAGAAAAAAAAATAATGTCAATAAACTACTCTTGTTCATATTTACGATGCAAGAACTATTTAAAGGCTTCGATTGAATCAAAATAACATTATTGTCGTCAAGTACAATAAAGAATTCTTATATAAAACTGTATATTGTATTTTATAAAGAAGTTGTTCTTCTCATTTATTTTAGCCAAATTGATCATAAACGTTTAAGTTACATACAAATTTATCATAATAACACATTTTAGCATCAAAATAAAATTTTCAAAAATACAGCTCATATTGCTTTAATTATATAGGGAAAATGGTCAAATCTCCAATATTTTTGCAGAAAAAGCGACATGGAATATGAGCAATGCATTTTCTCATTGCAAATTGATAAACAAATATATTTAAGGTTAAAAAATGAAATAGGTATCCAGGCATTCAGAGAAATTGTCATGAATTTTATACTTATTTGGTATTTTTTGTCTTCTATTTCCGTCATGTATTCTATAATACATAATTTAAAAGGGTTTTGTTATCATATATCATTGCAAGACATCACAAATCACTTTTCATTTCATAATATGCTAATAAGCATTGATATATATGGCTGGATTCAAAAAAATCTTATTTCTCTAAAACTGTATTATTTTTTTCTCCTTTCATAGGGCACAAATGTCAACTTTTATAGGACCTTTTCCAAAACTTCCAAAGAGCTCGAATCTTATAAAGATAAACTAGATGCTGTCATGAGACAGTAATACCCGCACTAAGGTGTTTGCCTCTAAATACACGCTCCTACATATTGGGCGGCTTTCCAAGAAAAAAGTCAAAATAATTCTATATAATTTACATGTACAGTGTATTCATCAAATTGAGTATGAAATTCTCCCTATGACCTATAACTCTGAACCTCTTATATTCATATTACATGCTTAATTCATTATATACCAATTTGAATTCTACTAATGATGTAAATTAGATTTTGATAAATGTTTTGCTCATAATTGCTGAGGACCTTTTCAAATTTACTAATCCCCCCCTCCCTCTCTCGACATCACAATCACACAGCACATACTTTTTGGAATAGGCTAGATGGAACAGTTTTGTTAAAACATCGTTTGTTATGAATTAATTTAAAATTTGCTCTTGTACTATACATGTTAACATGTAAATTTCTACATCACATCACGTTGCGTCACCCATTATCATATTTTTAGATTAAACTCCATTCGGCACACCTCGGCCGATTCCCACTTCATCTGGTAAGGTGACGGAATCGACGGCACGAAGGTTTGCCGAATGGAATAGCATTAGCAGTGTCATGCTGCAGTCTGGTGTGCATTGGATTAATATTCATTTTGTGTTATAATTGGATTATATATTTCATGAAGTTGACAAGACCTATGGAGGTAGGTAAGTACAAGTTTAAGTATAGTAGGGGGTAAAATAAAAGCAAACGATTAGGTTAATGTTCAAAAAGGGTCAAAGATCATCGCATGCCACACTACACGAATTTCATATTGTGAAGTTATCTCCCGTTGTCGATGTGACATTCAGTTACTGCCAATACTGGTGCGGATCCAGAATTTTTTTTCGGGAGTAGGGAGGTGGGTTCACATCTCAGTCAAAAAATTCCAGCCCAGAATTTCCTGACAAGCAGGAGAAAAAAAAAACTGAAAACAAATAAACAAAATAAAAACAATGATAGTGGGGTCAATGTTTTTTAAGTTGGGGGGAGGATTCCAAAGTCATTTTTTATTTGCTTCAGTATATAGTCTTGTTTAAATAACAAAGCAAATTCCAGGGGGGAGGTCCAATCTCCTTACCCACTCCCTGTCCCTGAAATAGTATATTTTTTTTCCATTTGACTAATTATACATATTTTGTTTCTTGTGTTTATATTATGTCTGTCTATTTGTCTGCAGAAATTATAACTTGCCCATAAGTTTTAAGTGGGATGGGCTATACAAATGGCTTCCACATTTTATAGGTTTATTTCTTGTGACAATTAAGACCTTTTATTTGGGTACCATTAATTTTTACCTCTGATCGCTTGACCTAGGAAACACATTTTTACAAGAAAAATACCAAACCTTAAACTTGGCTTAAATTTTGATCAGTAGGTGCTAGGGCTTTCATGCTTAACATGTACTGTATTCATTGTGAACTGTCAACAGGTTTAAATATGTTTGACCTTGACCCTTAAGTTTGAACCACTTAAAAAAAATTAACCTTGGCAATTAACTTTTCAACAGGAAGTACTAGGGATTACTTATTTCACATGTGCATTCCTTGTGACAAGACTTTCTTCTGATATCAACAACTTGAACCCTTTGACCTTGACCTTTGAGTTTGACATATATTTGAGAAACTTCAACCTTTGCCATAGGCTTCCATACAGGGATATCAGTGTTTCACAAACACATCTTGTCTTCATTATTATTTGGTGCTGTCTCCATATGAGGGAAAAAATCCTGAGAGAGATGTATTCACAACAAACAAACAAATTACCTAAGAAAATATAAAACATAAATATGTAGGTCATGCATATCTCTGCATGAAAAAAACAGCTTTTCAAATACTGCAACCCTATTGTAACCCTTTCAAAACACTCATTTGAGCTTTTCTGGTTTCCTTATCATATAACGTCTTTTGTGACGTGTCGTCCATCTGTTTGTCTGAAAACATTTTACATTTTTAACTTCTCTAGAACCACTGGGCCAATTTTACCCAATTCATATAGAAATATGTACATTTGTATGTCAGACTGTCCATCTGTCTCAATAAATTTAACCTTGGTCATCACGGTCATATCTACTGAATGAGAAGAGACAAGGCATTCATATTAAACTTATGTACTAGTATTTACCTGTGAGAATGGCATGTTGTTTTTTTTTTTACTTATGACCTAGAAGTTTGACCTACTTGCAAAAAACTTAAACTGTTATAAATTCATCATTTTGAAAGAGAAAAGTTAGGGCATTCATATTATAATGCATGTGTATTATTACATGTGATAAGATCTTTCCATGACTTTTACTCTGTGACCTTGACCTTGAAGTCTAACATACTTTTCAAAAATGTTGCATTTGCTTATAACTTTTGATTGAGATGAGATATGACTCTCACATTTGACATGTACATTAATTACTCATAAGAATTCAGGGTGTTTCCCAGCATGCAATGCTTTTTTACCCCTTGACGTTGATGTTTTACATAATTTTCAAAATATTTAACTCTCCTAAAAGATGATTAGGCTTCTGAGTAACATTAAGGAAGACTTCAGGAAAGACAGGACTTTTTGCACAAAAAACGTCATTTTTCCACCCCCATTTGACCCCCGGGGAAAAAATCAAAATTACAAAACCTTACTGCACATCTACATGACACCACAAACCATCTCCCAAAAGGTGATTAGGCTGCTGAGTAAAATGTAAGAGGAGTTCAGGGAAGACGGGGCTTTTTGCATAAAAAACATCATTTTTCAACCCCCATTTGACCCCCCGGGGGCAAAATCAAAAATCCGAAACCTTACTCCTCATCTACATGACCCCACCAACCATCTCCCAAAAGATGATTAGGCTGCTGAGTAAAATGTAAGAGAAGTTCAGGGAAGACGGGGCTTTTTGCATAAAAACGTCATTTATCGACCCCAATTTGACCCCCCGGGGGAAAAATCTAAATTCCGAAACCTTACTGCACATCTACATGACACCACCAACCATCTCCCAAAAGATGATTAGGCTACTGTGTAAAATGTAGAATGAGTT